ATCCTTAATAATTTTTCAAAGGTTTTCCCAAGGGTAGAGGTGAGACTAACCAGCCTATAGTTACCTGGCTCCTCCTTCCTCCCCTTCTTGAAAATAGGGACCACATTGGCCCTTTTCCAGTCCTCTGACCTCTCCTGAGCACCATGAGCGCCCAAACAGCCATGCCAGTGGGTCTGCTATGACATTGGCTAATTGTTTCGGCGCCCTTGGATGAAGATCATCTGGTCCTGCTGCCTTGAACACATCAGGCCCCTCCAAGTGTCCCTTCACTAGGTCGACACTAACTGTTGGCGGGCCGGTGTCCCTCTTGTGCCTGTCTATAGTCCCATTTGGTGATACGTCTACGTCCGTGTTCAGGAATACTGATGCAAATAACTCATTGAAGAGCTCAGCTTTGTCCCTTCTATCTGTTACTAATTGCCCTAGTCTGCCCTGTAGGGGTCCTATGTTGCCATGCGTCGTGTCTTCTTTTTGCTCCCTATGTACCTGAAGAAGAACTTTTTGTTGTCTTTAATTTTAGTCGCCAGCCTAAGCTCCATTGCTGCCTTGGCCGTTCTTACTAACTCCCTGCAAGTGCGAGCCAAGTAGGTATATTCCTCCTTGGTGGCTACCCCCTGCTTCCAGTCTGTATGCCTCTTTTTTCATCCCTGGGCTTTCCTTGATTTCCCTGTTCACCCAAGAGGGTTTCTTGGCCCCCTTGCCACTCTTTATGTGCAGTGGGATTTTCACCTTCTGTGCCCGAAAGATCGTTCCCTTGAGGAACGACCACCCTTCCTGGACTCCCATCTCACCGAGGCTCTTGTCCTTCAGTGCTTCGCTTACTGACCTCCTGAGCTCATTGAAGTTAGCCTTTTTGACACCAATTCCTGGACTAACGACCCAGCCCTTGGAACCACCCTCAGCATTCAAGAAACAAGGCAACCACCATTGTCAGCATTCAAGACGAGGCAACCCCCCATTGTGCCAGGCTGCACCTGCTCAGTAAGAACACCTGGGGCCCTCTGGGACAGGACTGCCCTTGCCTGGACAGGCCCTCCCCATAGGAGATCAGAGGTAGTCTTCCCCATAGAAAGGGGGAATGAGGACCGACTCCTTGGTATGCCCTCTCCATCTGAACCAGACCAGCTCCACATCACACCGCCTGTCCACCCAGATGCCCTGCTGGCAACCCCCTCTGGACAACACCGAGCTGAAGGAGACCCCGACTGGCCATCGAGGACGCACTTTCAACCTGGGTCAGATAGATATCACCTGCATATTTCCTCCTCCAATTTGGACTCTATCTCTCTCCTCCCAGACTTCAGCCCCTGCACCAAGCCTCTTTTAACCCCTGCTGCCAGAGTGTGTGTGTGTGTGTGTGCTTGTGTGTACGCGCGTGTGTGCGTGCTTGTGTGTGTATGTGCCGTGTGTGCGTGCACATACGCACAAAGGAACCAATAAAATATTGTGTCACCATCTCCCCTGTTCAATAAAACCACTATCACTAGTAACCCCCAGTTGGGTGTGTTTTACTGAACACCACTTTTTGCCTCTTGCCACCTCTGCATAATCCCCATCTTTCTCTGCCTTCTCCAGCCTCCCCCCCAGCCCCACTCCCAGTTTTCCTGTCCCCACATACCTCTTAGCTCCCCTGTAGCCTCCTTGCTCCAGCTCCAGCCCCAGCCTCTGGGCTTCTCCCCAGCATTGCTCCTTTGCTCTGCCTGTTTTCTGCTTTCAATTAACACCAATTAACCTTAAATTACCCCAACTCCCCTCCAGCCTGCCAGTTCTAATCCCAGCACTGGCAGCTTTTATCTCAGTCTCCATCAGCAGTGACCCAAAGTAACCCCAAGCCTCAGCCCAGCTCTCATTTTAGTCTACCAGTTCTAATCCCAGTCCCGGCGACTTTCACCCCCTACACGTTCACTCTCCCTTACCTTAACCTTCCCCCAGGTATCGCAGGTACACCAAACACATACATACACACAACACCCACGTTAGGAACTCACCTGTGTGTGTGTGTAGGTGACTGGTATATACGTGAACTGATATACATGTATGTCACTGTGTGCATGATATACGGATTAGTGATCCATGTATGTGTATTGGGTGTGCAGGTATTGGTAGTTGATTCTGCTCTAATTTCTTTTGGTCTGTATAGTGTGTGTAGGTGCCTGAATTGGAGCTAGGCGTGCATTTGCCCAAGCTGGTAATTTTGGATGTGTATGTGCCTGAATTGGTAGTGTGCGTGTGCGTGCCTGATGGGGGTTCATACACCTAGAGTGTGATTTTTGAGTGTGTGCCTGTGCAATTGTACACCACACCCTTCTATCTAACAGCACAATATTGAGATCCTGAGAGTTGGCCTGACCCCTCAGGGCAACACAAGCTGTGGACCCGGACTCCTGGGTCCTCTCCAGGCGCTGGGAGGGAAGGGGGCAGAGATGTCCCCTCAACCTTGACACCGCATTTCCAAGGTGCCAAAGCCCACCTTGACCTTTGAATCCTGGAAGGCCTGAACACAGGACTGGGGCCCAGGGAGGCAGCAAACCAGCTGGGCTCTGGGGTGGGGGTGGGAGGGACCTTGCTCAGGTCCTCAGCTCCCAGTACAGGTCCTGGACTCTGGGCTGCAGAGTCTGCGGGGAGACAGGGGCAGGTCAGAGACAGAGAGAGGAGATGGGGGAGGTCCAGGGGGCAGCTGGCGGCCGCGAGCCCGGTGACAGGGTTGTGCGCCTCGCAGCAGTACGTGCCCTGCTACAGGGGCTGCTGGCCCCGGTGCAGCATGGCCAGGGTCACGGTTGCCTTCACGTTGGGCAGCGCAGTATCATTATGGAGTCTGCGGGGAGACAGGGGCAGGTCAGAGACAGAGAGAGGAGATGGGGGAGGTCCAGGGGGCAGCTGGCGGCCGCGAGCCCGGTGACAGGGTTGTGCGCCTCGCAGCAGTACGTGCCCTGCTACAGGGGCTGCTGGCCCCGGTGCAGCATGGCCAGGGTCACGGTTGCCTTCACGTTGGGCAGCGCAGTATCATTATGAAACCACCTGTATCGCAGGGCTGGGAAGGAGCCGGCCTCTCATGTCAGCCCCAGCCCGGAGCCTACAGCCTGGTCCAAGGGCCCTGGCGGGGCGACAGTGGCAGCATCCAGCCCATCTGTGGGGAGAGGCGCAGGGTCAGGGGGGCAGAGCCAGGTCCAGAGTCAGCCACATCCCAGGCCTGTGATGCCCTCCCTGGCGCCCACCCCAGAGCCAGCCGCATCCCAGGCCTGTGATACTCGCACGCAACCGTAACGGTGACAGGGTGACTGCGGTTGTGGCTGACGGGGTTCCTGACCTCACAAGTGTAATTACCAGCGTCGTCCTGGCTGACCCCCAACACCGTCAGGGCCCGGTTTCCCGGGGACAGCCCCATGCAGCCGCCAGGCACAAGGACAGAGTCGTCATGGTCCCGCAGCAGCGTCTCGGTGCCAGTGGGGGTCTCGCACGTGGACTTGAGGGCCCAGCTCTCCACCACCGTGATGTTCGGCGGCGTCACCTTGAGCTGCGACAGCGTCTCTGTGCCAATGGGGCAAAGGCCACATTACCGGGGTCCCTGCTGCCCATGCTCCAAACCGGGGCCCACCCCAAGGAATTGTGGGAGCCTGGGTGTTTTAGGGCGATCTGCCCACACCTGTAATTTTGCGGGGGACCTTTGTGACCCCTGTGGAGGAAGTCAGAGCCCAGGCGGCTCCGGTCGGGTGTCGTGCCGGTGTTGTGGGGCACCAGCAGTGGGCAGGGCCCGGCCATGCCTGGGCAGGAGCTGGGTGCGAGACTGAGGATGCGCTCCAGAAAACTGGCTCAGAAAATCAGCAGAGGAGCCCACCCTGCCCCCCACCCCCAGCTTTCGCTTCCCGGAGGGGAAACCAGAGGCGTGGAGGTGACTCAGCTCCTTGTCAGGGCCCTGCCCCGCAGGGGTAACGGCAGTGGGGGGGCAGTGGGGCCTGCCCCCACCCCCAGCTTGGGGAGAGCAGCAGACCCACGGGCACAGGGGCTGCAGGGCCCCATCCTGGGCAGAGACAGCGCTGTGGGGAATGCAGAGGGGGATGTGAGGGTCACCCCAGGATCCCAGGGCTTAGGGCTGGCAGGGCCACCGCCAGGGCCACCCCAGGACTCACAGGGCTGGCCATGCCAGCTGCCTAGGGTAGTGTGACCCAGCTCTGCCATGGAGACGCTGCGCTGGAGCCGCCAGTGGCAAGGTGGGTACTGCATGGGGCAGAGGTGCATGGCGCGGTAGGGCGCATTGGGATGGAGGGGGCAGATGGAGAGAGCTGGGTCCCCGGCAGCCCCATGCCCAGAGTGGGGGCCGCTGTGTCAAGGCTGGCTGCTCCTGATACAGGGCCTCTGGCCCACTGCCCTGCCCACCCCTCGCCTGGGGCAGCTGAAAGGTTGTTGACCCTGAAATGAGCTCTGGCAAACTCATTTGACCCAGACGGCCTGAATGAGCGTCGGGTGTGAAAAGCAATTTTGGGGGCACATTGGGAGGGCAATGTGCAGCATGCAGTCCAACTCCACTGACATCTGTGCCGTGAAGGCCAGGCCCTTGTCTGTGACAGTGGTTGGAAGTGTGCAAAACACCAGGATTATATGGTCTGTCCCATTGTACCAGGTGCAGCTCAGGAGCTGGGATGGGAGACCATGCACCCGCAGGCTAATGTTGGTCCCCACCACAGAGTCCTGCCCTGGCGGACGATGGAGAGAGACCTGGGCCCTCGCTGGGCAAAGGCAGGCGGCCAGTGCAGAAGCTGCAGGGAGAAGTGACGGAGCTCGTTAGTGCAGCCGTGGTTGTCCCCCTGCACCCTGGCCCAGTCTTGAGCTAGGGGTCCCAGGGGGGCACAGTGGAAACACCCCTGGGACAGAAGACACAGGACACACGTGTGAGGGCATGGCATGTATGTGTATGCACGCATGTGTAGGGCACACGTCAGTGTGTGTGCACGCATGTACAAGGGTGGCAGATGGGAGCTGCCCCTCAGCAATGGTGGGGCTCCTGTGTGGCTCCTGGCGGGGCGGCTCTGTTCCCCCCCCGCCCTGGGCCAGGGCCAGGGCCAGGGCCAGGCTTCCTCCGCCGGGGGCAGCCCCTCCTGGCTCCCTCCCAGCTCCCCCCCCACAGGGCACCTGGGCCGGGGGCAGCGGAGCCCGGGGGTGAACAGACCCGCAGGTACCGAACAAGGACTGCAGGGCCTGGGTGCCCGCCCCGCTCCTCCCCCAGCTCTGGGAGGGCAGTGAGGTGCAGCGGTCAAAGCAGGGAGCCTGGACACCGGGGCTCCTCTCAGCTCTGGGACAGGACTGGGGTCCGGGTGGGGTCGGGGTGATGAGAACAGGGGTGTTGGGAGTGCAGACACCTGGATTCATCCCCAGCTCACTGGGAGCCTGGATGCCTGGGTCCAATGCCCTCAACCCCCAAGTGACACGAAGCCCAGCAAGGAGATAGAGGCGCCGCTACACGGTGAGTCTGTGTCCACGCAAATCCAGTGCTGGCCTCAGACCCCGGGAACCCCAAAAGCCCAGGGGACCGCCAACCCCACCCTGTCCCCCCATCCCAGGATCATCCAGATTAAACCATGTTCCTCAGCCTCCCACCTCACTGAATCCGACCGGACGCCCGGGCTCCCTCCCGGCGCTGCAGGGGGAGGCGGTAGGAGCTCGGTGTCCAGACCCCTGGGTTCTCTCCTCGCCCGGGGAGGGGAGGAGGCAGAAATGCCTTCTGGACCTTGACGTCTGGGGGGGGGCACCCTTTCCTGACCTTTAACCCCTGGAAACCCAAACACAGAATTGGGGCCCAGGGAAGCAGCAAACCAGCTGGGTTTCATTTGTCCACAGTAGGGGGTCAAGTGCACTGAGGTGGAAGCGGGCATCGCTCAGGTCCTCAGCTCCTCATACAGGTCCCTGGTGCCGGACTGCAGCGTCTGGGGGGAGAAGGGGCCGATCCCAGACACAGGCAGGAGATGGAGGCGGGGGAGCACTCCCAAATCCTCCCGGCTCCCAGCTGTGATGAGCTGCCCCGTTCTCAGCACCCCAGGGAGGCCCTTACCTGGTAGGTGGGGTCGGGGGAGCTCCCGGGCTGGGCCTGGGCAGAGACCAAGGCAAGAGAGTCATTAGCACCAGAAATGCCCCCAGGGACTCAAGTGTCCCGGGCACCATAGGGGACAGAGGGGAAGACCCGGGGGGGGGGGAGTTGTGTGTGGGGGTGAGAGGCAGTGGTGGAGGGGGGTCAAGCCCTTGTCACTCACCGCTGTCCCTGTCCAGGATGGGGGGGGTTACGTTCTCATACAACGGGGGGTGCTCCTTGCTACCTTGCAGGGTCTTGCTCCGACAGCATCAGACTAGGGGACAGGAGAGAGGCTGTGACCAAGGACCCAGGTGTCTGGGTCACCCCCCCCCCCCTCCCCGCCTCCCCACCACAGGTGTCTGGGTCCCCCCCCCCCCCCTTCCTGCTGCTCCAACACACAGCTGGGTGAGGAACCCAGGCATCTGGGTGGCTACTCACATAGGACACAGGCCAGGCCCGCCCCCAGCGCCATGGCTGCCATTGCGATCCCGGCCACAGCTCCGGCTATGAGACTCAGACCTGCCTCATGGGGGGAGACTGGGGGTGAGAGTGGGGGGGCAGAGACCCCCAAACCCAATGACCCAACCCCAGGCAATGTGGGCTGGGGGCAGCCCCAGACTCAACCCTGTGCCCCAGCCACAGGAAGATAGACAGAGGTGGTGGCACTCTGGCCAACGCAGAGGTTGGTGGCACGGCATTTGTAGACGCCTGTCTACTCCGTGCCCACCAGCGCCAGGCTCAGGACAACGCCAATCAGGCCCGGGCCAGAGCCATTATGGGACCAGCAGAGCCGCCGGGCCGGGACTGAGTGGGCTGCACACATCAGGGTCACGTTGTCAAGGCGCAGGAATAGGGGCCCAGCAGAGCGATGTAGACAGTCTGTGGGGAGAGCAACGGGTGACCCTGCCCATGGCCACCCCAGACCCAGCTGCATCCCAAGGTGTGATACCAGCCCCAACATCCACCCCAGAGCCAGTCGCATCCCAGGGTGTGATACCAGCCCCAACGTCCACCCCAGAGCCAGCCACATCCCAGGGTGTGATACCAGCCCCAAAGCCCACCCCAGAGCCAGCTGTATCCCAGGTTCTGATACTCACAGGCGACTGTAACAGGGAGAGGGCGGCTGCAGTTGTGGCTGACGGGGTTTCTGACCTCACAAGTGTCATCTCCGGTATTGTCCTGGCCGACCCCCTGCACTGTCAGGGTCCAGTTCCCCGGGGACAGCCCCGCATGGCCACCAGGTGCTAGGACAGAGCCGTCGCAGTATCACAACTTCGTTGCAGTGCTGAGGTGGGCCTCATACATGAACTTGAGGGTCCCATTCTCCACCACCATGGGGCTGGGGGATATACCATTGGGCAGCAACAGCGTCTCAATGCCCACAGGGCAATGGCCATGTTACTGGGGTCCCTGCTCCCCATGCCCCAGACCGGGGCCCACACCAAGGCACTGTTGGAACTTGGGTGTTTTGGGGCAATTTGCCCATATGTGCAATTTGGGGGGGACCTTCGTGACCCCCGTGGAGGAAGTCAGAGCCCGGGTGGCAAGTGGCTCAGAAAATCAGCTGGGGTTGCCCAGCACAGGGGGCGGCCGCAGGGACGATGTGGGCGCCACTGGCACAGGAGCGCACCAAGCACTTGTCTGTGGAGCCAGGGAAGGTGCCCCCCCACTGCATGGGCATTGTGACACGGGTGAAGGTGGCACTTCCTACCCCGTTATCTGCACTGCCCCCCACATCAGCCAATGCCCCACAGGGCCTGGAGGGGCAGGGGCTGCGGGTCGGGAGAGAAGGGCACCAGCAGGACTGGGGGGTGATGCCCGGGGCTGCATCCCACCGTTGGGAACTGCACCCTTAAGGGGCCTTCGCTTCACGGCCCCTCCCCACCAGTGCCCCTCACTCCCAACCCAAAGCCCCTGGCCATGCCAGTGCCCCTCAGTCCCTCATTGTGCCGCCTCTTCCCCTCTGCCCTTCCCAGGATGTTGCAACCTGAACAGGGAAGTGCCAGCACCAGTGCAGTTGAGAGGGGCCGTGGCGCTAGGGCCAGCCTGCCTGGAGGCAGCTCGAGGGGTCCCACCAGCTGCCAGCCATGGGGACATGCCCCTGGGGGGGATTCTCCTGGCAGGTGAGAGAGGGGCCAAGGGAAAGGTGGGGGCAGAGAGGTGTCGGTGGGACCCAGGAGCCCCGACCAGGATTCAAGGAAGGTGGCATGATGCAGGAGACAGCAGAGGAGCTGCAGGTGGGGAGTGAGGGGCACCGGCGGGGCTGTGGGGGGACAGGGGGCTGCAGATCTGGAGTGAGGGGCACCCCTGGGGAGGAGGGAGGAGGGGCTGGTGAGGTGCCATTCCTGGAGGCAGCCCGGCCCTGGGAACGCCCGCTGAGTCCAGAGCCCAGACAGATGCCAGGGGCACTCTGCAGGACCCAGGCATCCGGGTGGGACCCAGGTGTCCGGGTGCACCCAATGGGCCATGGCAGGACCAGACCCACAGGCCCGGTCTGGGCACCGTTGGGGCTGCTCCTGGCAGGTGAGAAGGGCCCAGGCAGTCCCTGGGGTTGGAGGAGGCAATGGCTTTTTTTTTTTTTTTTTAATCTTTAAAACATTTTATTAAAAAAACAGACCATAACAAAAGGCTCAAAACGACCTCCAACAGAGGTCTCACAAAAGGATAATACAACATTTCAAATAACATAATAAAAAAACATCGGAATTGATATCATATTGCACGTCATCTCATTTTTCCACAGTATATACAAACATCCCTGAGTAGTGTCTATCAAACACATATTACACGTATCGTGTTAGACATCCTGTACTTTCCCGGAAAAAGGAAAGCGAGAACACTGAGTGCAATACAGGTCCCTTTGTTGTCTCTACCCCATGTACAACCCTAGCCAGCCTTTTCTACCCACAAAGGCTGACTCTTAGTTTAGAGCCTATACCTGTGCTGGGCCTATACAGCCTATACCTGTGCTGGGCTGAAACAACCCCCTGAAGTCCAGCTCTTGCCAGAATTTTTCCTCCCCTCCTTCTTTCGTATTTCCTTCCCTAGCTCTATAGAAGTGCAGCTCGTGCATTGCTAACTGCAGACACCCCGTCGTGGAAAAGCACGACCCCTTTAGAGCCAACAAGGAGCGTACTTTTCATAGGGCTACTTTGGTGCACCTGATTAAAACCCTCACCCCCCATGTCCCATCCGTCCCCTCTGATAAACCATAGAGAACATTTCTGGAAGTGACCCCCGTTCCCCTTCCCGTATCCTTCAAATAAGTAGTCACCTTCCCCCACACCCGTTGTGCGTCAAAGCAGTCCCACAGCACATGTGTCACCGACTCGGGTCATCGCAGAGCTCCCTTGGGCACTTGGGGGACCGAGAGAGTCCCCAGCAATAGAGCACCTGTCGCACTGGCAGAGCATTTCGCACCGCTCTCCATGCCAGCTCCTCATGCTCCCCTTTCCAGTCCTTCCCCACCAGTCCTTTCCACACCCTACTGACTTGCTCCGGTCTCAATTCCCCAACATCCGACATCCTCTGCTTCCCTCTCAGGAAATTAAGGACCCTTTTGGCGTCTCCCAGCCCTTCGATCCCTAACCCCTCCAGTCCTTCTTTCGCAACAAAGGCTCCAAGTTGGGCGTAGGGCAGCGACATCTGCCGAGCCCACCCTCCCTGCCAGGCAGCGACATCTGCCGAGCCCACGCTCCCTGCCACGCACTCCCGAACAGGCCCAGCCTTCTCAGGAGCCTCCCCCCAGAACCTGCAGAAATTGGTAACCATCCCCGCTGCTCCCCTCACTTCCCTCACCACCATCTTCAAAAAGTGCACCTAAACAAAGGTCTCTATGTTGGGGAAGCCCCATCCCCAATGGCATCACAGTGGCAGTTTGGGTTCCCCTCCCTGCTGCAGATGCAGGTTTTTGGGCAAATCATCCCACCTGTGAGCACAGAGCCGTGGCTCTACGGTGGGCACCATCCCTTTCCCTCCCCCCTCTCCCTGCTTCATACCCCAGGCAAGGAGCTCCGGGCACGTCCCGAGGAGCCCGCTGCCCTCCTGCACAGAGGGTGCTGGGGGGACCTGGGAACTGCGGGGACATGGGCAAGGCCGCGACACTGTCCCTGCTCCCACGGGTTCTTCCAGCAGCACTGGCTGGGCCCTGGGCTCCCTGCACCACACCCCACTTGGGCCAGGGTGGGGGCTGTTTCCTCCATGGCTTTGGGGGCGGCAGGAGACGGGGCTGTGCCAGTGCTTCTTCTGGCAGCAACTGCAAAGTCCTGGTCTTGCCCCCAGGTTCAGGCTCAATGGGGTGGAAGGGATTTTCCCCCTGCTCAGACCGGTCCACTCTGGGGGGTTTTGCTTTCCTCTGCAGTGGCGGTACAGCCTGACCTGGGCTCTGGCTTGTAGTCTTAGGAAGAGGCTGGATGACGGGTTTGTCCAGGACTAGACCTGCCTGACACTGAGCAGGTCCCTGCCAGCGCCAGCGCCAGCTCCTTCCTGGGAGCCAGGTGGAAGAGGACTATGCAGCTGGGACCTCGGTGCTTGGCCAATGAATCCCGCGGGCGCCCCAGTGCCAGTGCAGCCGGGGCTGGGTCCTGCTCCCAGACATGGCCTCAGTGTCGGAGCCGCAGCTTCCTCTCCAGGTAGCCTGGAGGGGGGAGCGCAGCCCAGACCCGCCTGCTGATGTACTGAGCCAGTTTCCTGGAGCGCGTCCTTGGACTCACACCCAGCACCTGCCCAAGCATGGCCGGGCACTGATTGTGGCAGTGCCCCCTGGACCAGATCCTGCTCCTTGCCCCCAGCATTGGCACAGGGCCT